TTAATATATGGAATTAATGAATCTTATAAGATAATTGGCAGCAGTTGTTTTTTTTTTATAACACCTCCCTTATTAAAAATAGCAACAACAACAAAAAATACAATTGTTATGTGTTATTTAAATCCAGAGATATTTGAAATTGTATATTAAGTAGATTGAATATTCAATAGATAACATAAAATGCAAATGTTAAATAACATACCTTTTCATATAAGAATTTTAGTCGCACATTGCAAATAAAACTTAGTAACAGATAAACCTTGGAAAAAAAAATATTTTTAAACATAGTGGAAAAATATGTGTAATATATAGAAATAATCTATACTACAAGATTAATAATATACCAGTATGCAATGTAATATAATATTATTATTATTTTATTATTTACATGTCACTAGCAAATTCCATAGTGCTGTACCATGGGTGGACTTACAGACACGTAATTGTAACCAGACAAATGGATGCACAGGAACAGAGGGGTTGAGGGCCCTGCTCAATGAGCTTACATGCTCAAGGGAGTGGGGTATAGTGACATAAAAGGTATAGGTAGGAGTAATTAAAGAGGTTGCTAGAAAAGCATTCACTGAAAACCTGCTAACAGTGATAAGTGTTATGCTTTCCTGAAGAAGTGTATTTTCAAAGAATTTTCGAAGGAACGGAAACTGGATGAAAAGGAAGGGAGTTCCACAGAAAAGGTGCAGCGTACGGACAGAGGATAGACGTAGGTCTTCGGCAGAGAACAGGGGCCTTGACGGGAAATACTTGTGTATTAGGGAGGATAGGTAGGTTGGAGCAGCATTATGTAGGGACTTGTAAGCAAGTACCAGAATTTTAAATTGAGCCCTATATCTAACTGGAAGCCAATAAAGGGACTGATAGAAGGGGGAGGTGTGGAATGTGCGGGCGGACAGAAAAAAGACTTTTGTTGCCGCATTCATTATAGGTTGGACATGAGGGGAGAAGGAGAGGTCGAAGTCAAAGAAAACACCTAGGCAGCGAGCCTGCGAGGTAGAGGTGATGGTGGTGCTGTTGACTTGGAGGGAGACAGACATGGGAGTAGCAACTCTTGAGGGAGGAAAGACCAGAAGTTCTGTTTTGGACAGGTTGAGTTTAAGGAAGTGAGCAGCCATCCAGTTGAAAATCAGGGAGAGGCAGTCAGAGACACGAGTCAAGATGGGCAGAGAGAGATCAGGAGAGGAAATGTAGATTTGCGTGTCATCTGCATATAAATGATAATGGAAGCCAAAGAGGCTGATGAGTTTACCATGGGAGGCAGTATAGATGGAGAACAGTAGGGAAGGGCAGACCATTGGGGAGCGCCAACAGAGAGGGGTTGGGGAGAAGAGGTTGAGCCAGAGAAAGAAACACTGAAAAATCGCTGGGAGAGGTAGGAGGAGCATCAGGAGAGAGCAGTATCTTGTAGTACGAGATTATGGAGAATGAGAAGAAGTTGTTGATGATCAACAGTGTCAAAGGCAGCAGAAAGATCAAGGAGAATTAGGATAGAGCAATGACCGTGAAATTTAGCAGCAACTAAATCATTGGATACTTTGGTCACAGCTGTTTCAATAGAGTGACAAGCGCGGAATCCAGACTGAAGCAGGTCAAGCATAGAGTTGGATTTGAAGAAGTCTGTCAATCTCACATACACAACTTTCTCAAGGATCTTGGAGGCAAATGGAAGTAGCGATATAGAGCGGTTGTTGGATGGGAAGTTGAGGTCAAGGTTGGACTTTTTCAGAATCGGCGTTACGGTTGCATGCTTGATGGGTCAAGGAAACGTGCCGGAGGAAAGGGAGAGATTGAAAATTTTTGTGAGAGGGAGACAGAGTGAAGATGAGATATGAGGGAAGAGGATTGAGGGAACAGGTGGTGGGAATGGAGGTTCAGAGCAGAGGAGAAACCTCTTCCATTGTAGTAGGTGTGAATTAGCATAGAACAGTGGAGTGAGTGGGGTTGGGTGATATATTGGAAGATGTAATGGAAGGAGAGAAAGAGAGGTTAGAGATCTCTTCCTTGATTGTAGAAATCTTCTCAGTGAAGTGAGTTGCAATGTTTAAGGCAGACAGGGTGATAGGAGGAGGGGGAGCAACAGTGGGAAGGAGAGGTTTAAAAGTGTGAAACAGGCATTTGGGTTGGCAGGAGGGTGCTGAAATAATTTACTTTTGCAGAGGAAAGAACCAGAGTGTAGGAGCGCAGCATACATTTATAGTATAGGAATTCAGGTGCAGAGTTAGACTTTCTCCAGCTTGGTGTGCCAGGGTTGTAAATGGGAACACTTGCTGCATTTTAATGTAGGAGGTGCCATGATGTCTAGTTGAGAGGAGTTGAGAGGAGTTGAGAGGAGAGATTGGAGTTGTAGAGGGAGGTTGAAGAGTTAGGGCAAGTGATATTTGAGATGGGTAAAAGGAGAGTTTGGAGTTTGGTGGAGAAATGCTAGAGATCAAGGCAGTGGAGGTTTCTGCGAGATTGGAGAGGTGAGAGTGATGAAATTTGGGTACAGTGTATGCCGATGTCAAAGGTCAGCAGATGGTGGTCAGATAAAGGAAATGGAACATTGGAGAGATTAGAAGTGGTACAGAGATTGGTAACGTTGAGGTCAAAAGTATTTCCTGCTGAAGTAGACCACTGTGAGAGGCTAAAGGAGGAGGCGATAGATGATGTCAATTCTTAAAGGAGTGGGTTTTTTAAATACATGGGCAGTGTGAACTTCAAAGGAAGCAAAGTATAGGGTAGGGACAGGGAGGATAGATTGAAAGGTACATTGAGGGGAGAGAAGGATGCCTACACATAAAGAAGTCAGGGTAGCGGTATCAGGGTGGAAAAGCCAGGTCTCAGTGAGTGCTAGTAGTGTGAGGGAATTATATAAAGCTGATCTCTCTTTTACTCCCCATGTCCAATCGATAGCCAAATCCGGTCGCTTCCAACTCAAGAACATAGCGCATATCCGCCCATATCTAATGCCGGATGCGGCTAAGGTACTGGTTCGTGCTGTTGTTCTCTCTCGCCTTGACTACTGCAATCCCCTTCTCACCATTCTTACATGTTCCCAGCTTGCACTGCTGCAATCTATAATGAATGCGTCTGCAAGGCTTATTTTCCTGTCCGGTCGTACCCCCCACGCCTCCACGCTCTGTCAGTCCCTGCATTGGCTTCCTGTTAGATATAGTGTCCAATTCAAAATTCTGGCACTTGCTTATAAATCCCTAGATAATGCTGATCCAACATACCTATCCTCCCTCATACACAAGTATGTCCCGTCGAGACCCCTGCGCTCAGCCAAAGACCTACGCCTATCCTCTGCCCGGATCACCACCTCTGATGCTCGCCTTCAAGACTTCTCCAGGGCTGCACCTATTCTGTGGAACTCCCTTCCCTCCTCAATCAGACTTTGACCCAGCCTCCACTCCTTCAAAAAATCTTTGAAAACTCACTTCTTCATTAAAGCGTATCAAATAAACTGTCAGCAGGTTTCTCATCCCCCACCCCATGACTCCGTTCATGCAACTGTCACAAATGACCTATCAAGCACTCAATAAACCCTTGTGTAACAAACTATTTAATTCCCCTACTTTAACCCATTGTGTCACTATATCCCACTCCCTCTAGCATGTAAGCTCATCGAGCAGGGCCCTCAACCCCTCTGTTCCTGTACGTCCAGTGGTCTGATCTCAATTATGTGTCTGTTAGTCCACCCATTGTACAGCGCTACGGAATTTGTTGGCGCTATATAAATAATAAAATAATAATAAAGCTACCGTTATAGAATGACAGGCAGGCAATGTAATAAGTCTTAAAATGTTACTCTTTCCATGTTTTTAAGTGGTCATGATGCATATAGTCTGTATGTGTGACTTTTACTATAAAATAGTGCACATATAAGATGTAACCATTTAGCAGCCAAATGTGTAACCCCACCTCTGGCTGCATCATTATCCAGCCCAAAACAAGAGTTTCAGGTTGGCTAATATCAATCCTATGAATAGTTCTGTGCGTGGAATATCATTCATTAGCTTATAGTGCTCAGCTGAAGCTCTCAGCCAATGAATGGTGACAGGATCAGCATCTTGCTTCTGAAGCCAGGTACCATTAAACTAGCACCAGACAAGAGCAGGAGCCCAACAGGGACCCAGGTAAGAGGGCGAACCATTGTAAAATCCCACTACCGAGGAACAGTGCCAGAGTACTTCTGGAAATCAGCTTCACAGAAGATAACAGAGAAAAACTGTTGGTTTTCAAACATTGTCTTACTCAAGGTATGTGTGTATGACTTTTAAACATCGTATAAAAAAAAAAAAAAAAATTCCTTTAAAAATTTGATTTAAGTATTATATTTAAATATATATATATTTAAATTCTTTAAAATTGTAATTGTAAATTTGTAATTCCACATTTATATTACACTTACAGGTATGCATACAAAGATACATCCGGTAGGAAAATAAGGCTATTGGTAGTGTAACGGCACCCCCAGGCATAAATGGGTTAAACCACCATTTAGAAGATCTTCCCCTTCCAGAGACACAGGCACAGCTACTGCAGAACACCAAACTCCCGAACTGGATACAAGGGAATGCTCCAAACTCCCGAACTGCATACAAAGTAGCACTCCAAACTCCCGAACTGGAACCTCACGAATAGCTGCTAGCAGACGAACAGGAAAAGCACCCAAGCGGCTTACACTCCTGGCAATCAGTCTCTAACAGCATGCAATAAATCCCCTCAAAGATGAGACAGAGCTCCGTGTTGAGGGACAAGCAGTGGTCTGATTTATTCAGGGCTACCTGCCCAGTATTTATGCAGGTCTCCCACCTGGTGGACACTCCCCTAGGGGACCAGATGGAAGACTGTAACACAGACAGACATGTATCAATTTCAGACACACAGAAGTAAAACATCCCCACAATGCATCCTAATTTCCCTCCCTCTATCCTGGAGATAATTGGGAAGTAATCCAATTATCTCCCAGGACAGAGGCAAAACTCCATTACACACGTGGGGACACAAAGACCATAAAATACATAAAAACATACAGTGTTACCTTTAATACATAAAATCCATGAATGTCACATATCTCCAGATAGCTGGGATCTGAGCGCACATAACTACCGAATAGCTCTCAGATCCTATTCACACAGTTCAATTGCCATGGAGCCAAAGTCTTTAATTACACGAATAGGCTCCATGGCATAGTTATCTGGGTTAACATATTCACATAGACAAAGTCCTGATCACTCCAGCGTTCATCTAAACAGCCACAAATAGACGCAGGGAAGGCTGGAGGATCAGCGGTGCCTGCACGTAAAAGTGTCCGCTTTTAGTGCACTGATTCCGGGCTGAGCACCGCTGGCCGCCCGGGGAGCTCCATAACACCGCCACCTAGCGGCCGCTAAGTGTAACCGCGGCCACCCAGTAATAGTCAATTAAGCTGCGGTTAACCGCAGCTACTTGGTGGTCAATTGACTGCAAACGCTAGCTTTCTGGTGGTCGCGCCTTCGTGCGGCTTTTGGTAGTTTAACAGGGGAACACATAGGGACTGTACAGGCAGGGAAATAAACTTAACAACAGACGAATGGAGGGAAAATAAATGTAATCCATATACTGACAGTTCTGCTACAGGTAGGTTAGAAACATGTAGAAAGAGGTTTTATGAAATGTAAAGAAAATAGTATATAGGAAAACACTAATCAATGCTGACTAGGAATACCCCCAAAGGTGAGAGAGTGTGACAGCAAGGAACGGTGGACATCTTAGAACTATTAAACTTCTGCCCAGGACAACAAATATCACTGAGAGGTTCATAGCCAAGGTGCCGGACATGGAGGTAGGGGGTTCAACAACTGTCACTATAGAGCATTATATTATAATTAAATATAGTTTTGCAGTGAAAGTTGTCCTTTAAGTCCGAAAGCTCACTATTTTGCAACTGATCATTGCATTTTTAAATTCTGTGCTCTGCAGCATTTTCTGTCAGGTGGGTTAAACCGTTCTCGAGGGTTTAACCCAAAACCGTTTAAGGGTGAGCTGGGAAGCCTCCTGGCACAATAAGGCACCAGAACAACTTAACTTAGATGAAATTGTTATGGTGCCTAAACTGTCCCTTTAAGTAAAACCCAAGCTTATCTGCCTGGTTAGTTATGATAGGTACAGTTTTTATTGCCAGCTTTGCAATATTTGAAGCTGATCATATTAAAATATTTCTTGGCCACTACAGACTGGAATAGAATATTGCTTATGAAATTGTTCTATAAAATACTTTTTAATAATTTCACATAGGTTTCTTCACCTTATTGGCAAAAAATAAATATTTTCTTTGTTGGTCATATAATTTCAACACCCATAATAAAATTCCTTTACTAAGTTATGAACTATCATGCTTAATGCTGCAAATAATGTACTTTCTTGCTATTATAAATGTTGTTAAGTGATTAATAGATAGACACGTCTAGACTGATTATACCAATCTATCACAGGTATTTAAGTTTATTATACCCCTGCTAACTGTCATATGCTTCTCCCCAACAAATATATATCACCGTCACATTGAAGTTGACTTACAGGCAGATCAGACAATCATGTCAAATAGCACTCTGAGAATAAGCTGTGATGTTTCAGCATATTTTAGCCATACTAGCCAAATTGGAAAATAAATCTTAAATGTAGCTGAATTTGTGTTTTTATTTTTTCTCAGCCACTTTATACTAAATATTTCAAGTTGTTTAAGGAGAGAATAGTGAGGATGTTCCTCTTGGTGATACCCGAGAAAGGGGTGCTTTTAATGGACACAAGCATGTAAAGGTATAAAAAAACACAGATAAATTGAGGGTATTATAGAGGGACACAAAGTGGTGGGAAGTTAGAGACATAGAAAGGATACGGAAGTGAAAAGAAATACATCAGGGTTGAAGCGTTGAGAGATTTACAAGCTGATAGTAGATTTTGTTGTTGAGTGCTATTAACAATGTAAAATATATTAAATTGACACTATAGTCACCAGGACAACTACAGCTTATTTTATTTGTTCTGGTGAGTAGACTCATACCTGCCAGGTAGTAAACAAATGCAATGTTTACATTACAGCCTAGTGATAACTCCACTAGCCACTCCTATAACTACTAGAGGTACTTCCTGGGGCAGTGCTGCACACTGTGCAGTACTGCCATTCAGTGTATCCACCCTCTGCCTGCAGACATTGAACCTTTCAGATAGAGATGCATTGATTCAATGGATCTATATGAGTAGATGCGGATTGGTCAGCTGTGGTTGGCTTATGCGGGCTCTGCTTTTGATCTGCCTTCTTTGCAGTCTCAGCCAATCCTATGGGAAAGCATTGTGATTGGCTCACATAATAATTTCTGATGATGTCAGCAGACAGCAGACACGATAGATGCAGAGGCAGCAGTTGCAGACTTGCATACAAATAAGATTTACTATATTTAGGGAGGCAGAGAGGGGCCAGGGGGGCTAGATGGTGGTTTATTACTATAGGGTCAGAAATACATGTTTGTGTTCCTGACCCTGTAGTGTTCCTTTAAATGTTGCTATATAAAACATATCTTTGCTTGTTTGAACCAGTGTTTTATATTATGTTATTATTTATATTGCTACAATAAATTTCGCAGCACTTTACAGTGGGTAGACAAACAAACATGTAGTTGTAACCAGACAAGTTGGACACACAGGAACAGAGGGGTTGAGGGCCATGCTCAATGAGCTTACATGCTAGAGGGAGTGGGGTAGAGTGACACAAAAGGTAAGGATAGTATTAGACTAATGACATCTGCAAGAGATGAATCAGTCGGGAGCTATTAACAGTTTCATTGATAAGCGTTTATGAAGAAATGGGTTTTTAATGATTTTTGAAGGAGTGGAGACTGGGTGAGCATCTAACAGAGGAGGGAAGTGAGTTCCACAGGAGTGGTGCAGCCCTTGAGAAGTCTCGAAGGCAAGCATCAGAGGTAGGAGTACGGACAGAAGATAGACGTAAGTCTTCAGCAGAGCGTAAGGGCCTAGACGGGACATACTTGTGTATTAGGGAGGTGGGAGCAGCATTATGTAGAGATTTGAAAGCAAGAACCAGAATTTTAAATTGAGCCCTATATCTTACAGGAAGGGAATGTAGGGACTGACAGAAGGGTGAGGCGTGGGCGGACAGGAAGAGGAGCCTCGCCGGCGCATTCATTATGGACTGTAAAGTTGGGAGCACGTAAGACCACTGAGAAGTGGATTACAGTAGTCAAAGCGAGAAAGAACAGTGGAATGGACCAGCACCTTTTTGAGATGGAAGCAGCAGGATTTGTCGATAGACTGAACATGAGGCATGAAGGATAGGTTGGAGTCAAAGAGAACACTTAGGCAGCGAGCCTGCATGGTAGCACCGTTGACTTGGAGGGAGACAGACACAAGAGTAACTGTTGAACTATTTAATAGAACTACGATCTATTGATAGAACATACAAAATACATGCAAAATACAAAATAATTTATAGTATAATAAAAATAAAATTGATCTATTTTACAAATTATGGCCTCAATTTAATATTTTAGGATACATTGTTCATATGATTTAATATTTTGAAAAAGCTTATCAAAAATATAAAAAAACCTGAAAAGCTTATCCAAAAACATTAAATTGAGTCCTATTACAGCATATGTTCATGCTCAGATTCAACCAGAATATCTAATGTTCTAATTTACATAGAAATATCTTACTCAAATGAGATCTCTTATTTCCATTAATAAAAAATTAGGTTATTATTAGGGATCATTGCATAAATTAGAGCAGTACTACAGATGACTACCCTAATTAACTACATTTAGGATGTAAAAAAATCATTGTACTATAGCACAAGCCATAATTATGTAACTAGTTTAGAATAACATGATGACTGTTTTGTTTTCCGTTCAATTACTATTTTCTGTCTGTTCCTCTTGAATAAAACAGGTACTGTCATGATTATGGTTTAATTTTTAAATAACTTTGTGGTATAAGGTAGAGAAGGTCTATTTCTGTTATTTTCACATACCTGTTACTCTATCATTCTCACCAAAAATAAAGCTTCAGTTTGGTATTTGCTCTGGAAAACAAAAAATGTACAAATGTTGGCATTCAACTTACTATTGGCACTGGTAACTTACCATAGAAGTACCTTCAAAATGCATTAAAAAAATAATAGCACTACACTCAAAAAACAGAAAACTACTGCAAAATAATTTTTATTACTTACCATGGGCAGTGATGCCTATGTATTTCAGAAATTTTAAAGGCACAGAAGCCAAGGCATAATCACCAAAAGCTTATCATAAATTGAAAAACAAATTTAAAGCAAGCAACCGACATTTGAGCATCCATCACCAATGTGAAAAAATGTGGAAACAATATGAAATAATTAACAAATATATACAAACATAAAAGTACTAGAGACCCTCAGCAAGAATCTCTATCAATCCTAAAAATGTTAAGTACATTACACAGAGCACATATAGTAGGATAAACAGAAAAAGTGAAATCAAGTTGCAATAGACAAGTTTGAAATTGGATTTGTGGTTGTATTCTACTATATGAGTCCCTTCTAAGGATGATTCGCTTTTGTACTGCACAGGGCCAGACTTGGGATACAAAGCAGCCCTGGAAAAAAATGAATGCCAGCCCCAAAAGTCATTGTTCCATGTAGTGTGTATATATATATATATATATATATATATATATATATATATAATATATATGTGTGTGTGTGTATACATATGTGTATATATGTGTATATGTATGTATGTATATATATATATATATATATATATATGTTATTGGTATGTTTCATTTTCTAATTTAAAATAATGGTTCTTTCTGTGTAAAAATGTTTATTATACAGTAAACATACTCACATGCAGACACAGACAATCTCACTGACACAAGCACACAAGCTCATTTATACACAGGCTTACAGACAGATATTTCTCATTGATACTCAAAAGCTCATAAAAACATAAGTTCACTGATACACACAAATAGGCACACTGACACAAACAGGCAAGCTTACTGATACACACATACAAACTTAGTACAAACTCTGACACTCACACATGGTTATTACAGAAAAACATATTGGTACACAAACACAAACTTGCTACAGACAAGCTTATTGTTACACACACTCACTAAAGAAAAGCTAGCTGACACACTCAAGCTCGCTTACACATAGGCTCACTGACACACACATGGTCCCTACAGAAAAGCTCACTGACACACATGATCAC